TTCTTCGTCGTGGCTAGAGCTTGAGATTTTGAGATTTTCGGGTACTGTTGAATGTAGATTTTAGAATTGTGATAGAAGAGTCTTTGTGGTGTTACCATATGAATATAGTTAACCTCTTAGGAATACAATAATTTAGTCTTGAATAATAGAATCGTAATACACGCGGAAGCGGGTTATGATTAAACTACCATCCCAGGTTAGTAATCCGAATTATTTACTTGCATAATTGAGGGAATTGGGGGATCGATAATCACATAGGCGGAAGATAAAATCCTAGGCTAGTTTAATTTGATTAAATCTTCGTTTTTATTTGTTTCTTGCTTTTGTCCTTTTAATTTTCTTTAGTTAATTTAGTATAATTGTTTATCTTTGGACTGTGTAGGGTGGGTTTGATAGCAATTAGTAGAATTTAGCGTCTATGATTAGATAATTAAATATTCTATGTGGGATCGATACTTGGACTTAAAAATCCACTTTATTACTTGTACGATACGTGCACTTGCGTGTAGGTATAACCACCAACAGGTACTTGATGGATGTATTCCTTGCTTGATGTGTTGTATAATTGTGTTAATATTACTGTGATAGAGAGTTATATAGAACTCTAGTATAGTTAATATTCCTGTGATAAATAGTAATGTAGTTAATATAACTGTCAACCATAACAATATTGATGTTTAAACGGGACAAAAAGATGCTAAAGTAAAACATACTTCTTAAAAAAATTGAAAAAGTCAACGTCGGAGACCGGCGGAAAAATCAGGAGAAAAATCAACGGCGACGACTTGCGAAATTGTACTCAAATTTAAGTTTTGAGTCAAAATTGAATAATTTGTGAAATTTGGGTCAAATTGAGGTTAAATGAAATTAAATGATGAAATCGGAGCATATTAAAATGTGAGGGGATATTTTAAGTCCTTTATACATATCTGGACAATGTGTGGATTTTTTTAAAAGAGTTTTTTGTCAGGACTCATTTATGAATAAGGTGGTATTTGCAAACGTTTTTTGAAAGTGATTATGAGCTTCTCTTTTTTTTGCTCATAATCTGTTTTCAGGTGTTTGCAAAATCAACTTTTGCTTTTGCTTCTCTAAAAATAATCTGCTTTAAGATATTTTTTTAAAAGCACCTCTAACTCTGCTTTTTATATTTAAGTTCATTTTCCGGAATATTTGCAAACACCCTCAACTTTTAGAAATAAACACTTAAAACTAACTTAACTCACAATCACTAACTTTTGATTTTAAATAATTATTTGCAAACACCACCTAAGTATGGGATAATGAGCTTATTTGTAATGGAGCGTTAATTAAATTCTTCACAATTAATTAAGGGGTTTTTGGCACTTTGCACCCTTGAATTACACCATTTTGGCACTTTGCACCCTTAAATAGTAAAATTGACAGATTGCACCCTTTAAACATAAATTGTTTGGCACTTTGCACCCCAAGTCATTCTTGGCTTAGAAAAAATTACCTGCAACTTGTTGAAAACTTGAAAGATGGGCAAATTCGCAATTCTCTATTTATCTATCATCTTCCCCCAATTCTTAATCATCGTTCCACCATTTTTAAATTTCGTACTATTTATAAAAAAAATCCTAAATTCTTCTTACCCGTTTCTATTTGCCATAATATGTAAATTCTGAACTAAAACTCAAGAATGGTAGGAATATATAGACAATAGTCCGATAACACACCTTCAACAAATCAAGTTTTATTCCATGGTAAAGCTATTTTTTTTTAATAATTTTGCAGATCCAAACTATTCAATGAGAGCACAAAAATATTTCCATTATGAAACTAATATGCACCACCTTTCTACCACCAAATAACCTTCTCAGTAGCTTTATTTTGTCATTTGACTATTAAAAAAAAAAATATTGAGGGTTCGGCCTAAAATTTCAAGTTGCATTATTTTTCATACTCCAAAGAAAAGAAAAAAAAATGATTTACTATTATTGTTTAGTGTTTATACCGATTTTACCATTGAAAGAAATGGCTAAAAAGATTTTAGGATTTTTTTGATTGAAGGGACGAAAGATAAAATGATGGAACAGTGATTACGATTTGAGGGAAGAGGATAGATAATAAAGAAATGATGAATTTGCCCATCTTCCAGGTTTCCGGCAAGTTGCAGGTAAGTTTTCTAAGCCAAAAGTGATTTGGGGTGCAATGTGCCAAACCATTTATGTTTAAAGGGTGCAATCTGCCAATTTTACAATTTAAGGGTGCAAAGTGCCAAAATGGTGTAATTTAAGAGTGCAAAGTGCCAAAAACCCATTAATTAAGAGTTTAATCCCACTTTTCACCATTAAAATGTAGCATTTTGGCAGTTTACACCTTGGAAAAAAATAATATCACGTTGCACCATCGAAACACAATAAATCACTCACAATAATGCACCCGGAGTTGAATTTTTACAATTTCATTTGCTATTGTTTTTTTCCAGGGTACAAAATAACAAATTAAATTGTTATTTTTTCTACCCCCAACCTAGTTTCAAGTGTGCAAAATACGACGCAGTGAGTTATTTAATTTTAAAACTATATTTTCTCAAAAAAAAAAGTTCTTCTTACTAATTATTCGACGGAGGATCTTTTCATGTGATTAATGAAAATATTTGGTAGAAATCTTTGTAAGAAAATATAATTTTCAAATAGCTTAATAACATAATAGCATAAGGAATATTATCGTAAAGTATATATTTGTGATAAAAAAAATATAATTTAAGAATATTTATGAGTTGTATCCTTTTTCAATATGTAATTTTGAAATAGGCTTGGGGGAATTAATTGACTCTAAAAAAATGATTCGACATTTGGAATCCTAAAAACCACAACTAAAAAAATCGTTAGGGGTGCTCTCAGAAGGATTTATTGTGATTTGAGGATACAAACTGCTAAAGAGCTATATTTCAAGTGGGGGTTATTGTGCATAAGTCCCCAACCAAGCATCTTAATTATTCTAGGTTTAGGGGCTATACCTCTTTGACTAATAAGCTCATCCCTTTAATATTTATTACAAATAAAGGAAACATTCATATACATGTCAATATTACCCTCACCCATTTATACCTACTTCTTAATTGTAACCCCAATTTAATCAATTTTGTCTACAAAATCCAATTTTGACTTTTTTTGGAGCATAATTTAATATGCTCCAATTTCATCCTTAACTTAATTTAATATCAATTTGACCCCAAATTTAACAAATTATTCAATTTTGACCCAAAACTATTTTTTTTAAAAATTTTTTTTTTCAAAAAATATTTTGCCGCCGGATTCCGACGTTCACTTTAAATTTTTTTCTTTCTTTTGGATTTTTTCGCCGGTCTCCGGCGTTGACTTTTTTTTTTCTTTTCTTTTCTTCCGGATTTTTTCGCCGGTTTCCGGCGTTGACCGATTGTCTCCGGCGTTGATTTTTTTTAGTGTTTTTTGAAGTATTTTTTTTACGTCTGCCGCTAAACGTTGACCGTAATTGTGCTGTCACTGACAGTAAATTAACGTAATTATACTGTAATGATAGTTAATTAACGTAATTGTACTACCGTTGACAATACATTTATGTAATTGTGCTGCCGTTGACAGTAAATTAATGTAATATTAATATTATTTATTTTTTATTTTGTTTGATTTGTTGACAAGTCAACGTAATTATATTACTGTCGTTGACAGTAAAATAACTGTAATCACAATAATATTACTGTCAACAACATCAATATTATTATTTTTTTGGGTTTTTTGTTTTGTTTGAGTTATTCACGGAGTAACATAATAATATTACTGTCTATTATTTTAATATTACTGTAAACACAATAATATTATTGTGGTTGACAGTAATATTACTGTTGTTATAGTAATATTGCTGTCAACCACATCAATATTATTATTTTGTTTGGATTTTTTGTTTGTTTGAGTTATTCACGGAGCAACGTAATAATATTATTGTCTATTATTGTAATATTACTTTGGTTGACGGTAATATTACAGTTGTTATAGTAATATTACTGTCACTCACAGTAATATTAATTATTTTATTTTTTTATTATGTTTACATTTGTTGAACGGTCAACATAGTAATATTACTCTATTACACAATAATAATGAGTTTTGTTGTGTTAATATTACTGTGCTAGAGATTAATATAGCAATATTACTGTGTTAAAGTAGTTTAGTTAATTTTATCGTGTTTAACAGTAATATAGTTAATATTACTGTCAATCACAACAATATTGCTGTTTAAACGAAAAAAAAAGTTACACAAAGAAAAAAAAGAAGAAAAAAAAGAAAAAAAAATCGAAAAAGTCAACTCCGGAGACCGGCGAAAAAATCTGGAAGAAAAAAAATAATTGAAAAGCCAGAATCCGGCGGGAAAAAAAAGTTTATGAAATTTTATTTTTTTTTGAAAAAAAAAGTTTTGGGTCAAAATTGAATAATTTGTGAAATTTGGGGTCAAATTGAGATTAAATTAAGTTAATGATGAAATTGGAGCATATTAAAGTATGCTCCAAAAAAAGTCAAAATTAAATTTTTATGGTCAAAATTGGATTTTTGTGGACAAAAGTGATTAAATTGGGGTTACAATTAAGAATTGGGTATAAAGGGTTGAGGGTAATATTGACATATACATAAATGTTTCCTTTATTTATTATAAATATTAAATGGATGGACTTATTAGTGAAAGAGATATAGTCCCTAAACCTAGAATAATAAACATGCTTGGTTGGGGACTTATGCACAAAAACCCCTTATTTTAGTCCTTTACAAAAATCTGAACCATGTGTGGACTTATTGGTAAATGATTTTTTTGTATGGACTTAATGGGCTTATTTGCAATGACCTCTTTCAAGAGCGCAAAATCAGTTAGGTTATTATTGCACGTTGGGCTGGGCCATAAAGAAGAAGCCGAAAATCATGTTACACAGTAAAACCTAGGTATATATACCTCTAGAAGTAGAAACCCTAAAACAAAAGAACACATCATTTAAAAAAAAAATCATGGCAAGAAAATTAGCGAAAACATCACCATTAAATATTCCGCCGGAATCACCATCAAATATTCCGCCGGAGATAATTGAAATTATACTGTTAAAATTATCATCAGTTAAATCTCTTCTTCGATTCAAAGCAGTATCAAAGTCATGGAATACTTTAATCTCCGATCCTTTATTTATTCAAAATCATCTCCAATCGTCGAATAACTCTTCGGATAATCTCTTCTTAATGAGGTTTACAAATTATAGCGGTAAAGGGTTTTGTTTGGTTAAATTAGAAGGTCAAGATTTCGACACGGAAGCAATATTGAAGAGTCCGTATGGTTGCAACATGATATTATGCGAATGTAACGGCGTCCTACTTGTGGGCGACTCTACGTACAAGTGCAGCAGAAAATATGTGTTGTGGAATCCATCAACTCGAAAGGAGATATATTTTGACTGCCCGTGTGCATTATTTGATAAAGATGAGATGTTGAATCCCGGGATATGTTACGATCCGATAACAGGTGATTTCAAGGTCGTTCTTATCGGTAGTGGGTCCTACGCAATATATTCGTGCAAGAACAATTCTTGGACGGAAAAGAAATTAGGAATCCGATACACAGGCACCACTTGTCATGGAATCTTCGTTGACGGAGCTACCTATTGGCGGCTATTTCACTACAATGAAAATAATGCGGAATTGTTGTATTTCGATCCGAGAACCGACGAGCTCAAGACGTTGCAAAAGCCTGAACAAGTGAAATATGATGGTGGTTCGGTATTTATTGGGGTGGCTTGTTTGAGAGGTAACTTGTGTTTGTACGTCACCACGAGAGATTTCGGGGCACAGAAAATTCAAATTTGGATAAAGGAAAAGGGCATTCGTTTGGGGGAGAATCCTAATTGGAAAGAGTTGATAACCATTACCGAGAATGTGCCGACTCGGACATTGTGGTTTAAACCCTTATGTTTCGTCGGAAATGAGATTTTAATTCAATCCGTTTTTACGGGGTTTCTCTACTATAGCCCTTCTGAAAAGACGTTTGAAGTATTCGATAAGAGTTGCACGAATCGAGTCATTCCATTTCGAAATAGTCTGTATTTCTAAAAGCTCGAGGATTTTTAATTCCAGTTTTCGTTTTTATTTTTTATTTTTTTTCAAATTGAACTGAAATTAGTTTTTCACTTCCAAGAAAAAATTAGAGTTTTTTTTTCTTTTTTTTTTTTCCCTTCGAAAAGTGCTAATTTCGATATATACAATCTGTCTCATCATATTCACCGCTGGTCTTGTAACATACAAAAGTTACAAGGCTGTTGCCATATCCATTGTTTCTGATCATTATCATCCAAAAAAAAAATTAAGTGATTGAACTATTACATAATTTGTACAATCATATTTTTATATAACTTAAAAGAGTTTAATGTAATTAGCTTAGTTAAAATTTATAAATATTTACTTGTCTTGTCTTGTGTTTTTTTTTTACGAATAATTCTTAAACAAAAAAAAAGGGGGAGCTGCTGTTGGATTCCCATATTTTTTTAGCAAACACCATTACAAAATCATGGTTCGCCATTTGGTGCGTGTGTTGTAAGGCCACCTTTTTTTTTGAAGAACAAGAATTTATTTAAACATAAACCGCCAAATCGTTAGGAAGCAAAACACCTTCCGTACAATGAGAAATATGCCTCGTGGCAAGTAAGTGGGCTAAAACATTACCCTTACTTCTAATGAATGAGAAAAAAAAAACGTATGACACCTCACCAAGATTGAGGGCGTTGATAACTTCTAAGCAATCACCTTCGATGACAACGGAGGTCCATCTTTTTGAAATCGCGAATTTCATCGCCTCTAGCACTGCTCGGGCATCACACTCTGTTGGAGATGGGCGACCTGGAAGCTTCGTAACTGCCCAAGCAAGATACGAACCGCTATGGTCCCTAGCCACCAAGGAAACCGTGAATGGCTTACCTTGTGGGAGAGTCGCGTCAACATTAAGTTTAATACATCCTGGTCTTTGTGCAGCCCACACCGAGGATAGAGAAGCCTATTGAGTAGGGGAGAGCCGTTCCATGTGTTGCTGATAGTCTGCCAAAAAAGCTGCACACCAACTCACTGATATGTCATCCATGTTAGCATTACCATTGTGCAACAAATTGTTCCTCATGCCCCAACTTTTCCATGCAACCACCATGGCCAGATTGAAAATGTCCAAAGACAGGGTACGACGGAGCAACGATAGCCATCCCCAGAAGGTCATTCGTCGATCAAACGGGTTGAGAGAAAACGGAGGGGCTGACCACATGCCATGCAGCTCGGCAAGAGATTGCATGCACGAGAGATTCTTCAGATACTCCACAATGAAAGCACAAAGGAGATGGAATCATTTTTCTTCGTTTAGGCTCAACACATGTGGAAAGTGATTTCAAGCACGCTCTTCAAATGAAATTTCGAATTTTGGGTGGCAGCGGGAGGTGCCAAATGAAATATTCTTGATAGGATTCACCACTACTCGATCCCACATTATGTGGGTTTTTTCTACTCCTGGAATAGAGATCGTACATCGCGCACGAGCGAACTGAGAACTTGCCATTCTTCGAGTAGTGTCAAACCCAACGATCTGTCGAGTTGACGCTACCAATCAGAATGCTAAGGATGCGATCCCGGTCAATTGGCCAAAAAGTGTTGTCCACCAGCGGAAAGTTCCAAGAGCGGGAATTCGTATCAATTAAATCCGCCACATTGTCCGGGAAGGCTGTGTCAATTGGCCTAGAAGAAAGGATTCGAAAATTGGAGCTATCGGGAATCCAAGGATCGCCCCATATTGCCGTAGAGTCGCCATTCCCAATTCTTCGTCGAATTCCCACCAAGACCAAGGGCCGAGCTTTGAGGAGGTTCCGCCAAGTCGTCAAAGGCCGAAAACCGATCACTGCGGTCATCACATTCCCCGAAGGGTTGTAAGGCCACCTTATTGGGCCAATGTTTTGGTCCACTCAGTTCATATTATTTAGCTCATTCATCTTAAATCTGAAATTTTAAATGTCATTTCAATTTTGTGAATATCATTTTGACTGTTAATATGATTTTGACCATTTTCTAGTTTGATTTGAGATCAAAAACAAAAATTGTAGTTTTTTGAGTTAACTTCTAATTCAACTTGAATCAGCTAGATTGAATGTAAGATGACAAGGTTATGAAAGAATGAGTTATGTTTTAAAATTTAGATAACTCTAAACAACAAATTTGTAGGCAATATTCATTGTTTCATTCATATCTTTCTCTTCCAACATTCAATCTTGGTGATTCAAGTTGGATTACAAAGTTAACTAAAAAAATTACAAATACGCTATTTTGAATTTTGCCATTGGCACTTTACGAATAAGTCCATCAATGGGTACTTATTCATAAAGGGGTCAAGACAAAAAACTCTTTTACAAGACAATCCACACATGGTTCAAACGTTTGTAAAAGACTAAAATAGCCCCTCATATTTTAATATGTTCCAATTTCATCATTTAATTCAATCTAACCTTAATTTGACCCCAAATTCCACAAATTATTCAATTTTGATCGAAAACACAATTTTATGGACAATTTCGTCCGTCGGCGCCGTTGACTGCCGGTATCCGACTTTGACTTTTTTTTTCTTCCTGATTTTTCCGCCGGTTTCTGGCGTTGACTTTTCCGAATATTTGTTTTAACATCTTTTTGCCCCCGTTTAAACAACAATATTGTTGTGGTTGACAGTAATATTAACTATATTACTGTTAAACACAGTAAAATTAACTATACTGCAGTTTAACACAGTATAATATTGCTATATTAACACAACAAAATTCATTATTATTGTATAACAGTGTAATATTAATATGTTGACCGTTCAACAAAGGTAAACATAATAAAACCCCAAAAAATTAATATTACTGTGGCTCAGCCTCGACATTGATAAAACACTTTGCCATTTCGACATTAATAAAGCACTTAGTCATTTCGACATTAACAAAAGCCATAGTAATATTAATTATTTTGGCTTTTAATTATGTTTACCTTTGTTGAACGGTCAACATATTAATATTACTCTATTACACAATAATAATGACTTTTGTTGAATTAATATTATTGTGCTAGAGATTAATATATCAATATTACTGTGTTAAACTGTAGTATAATTAATATTAATGTGTTTAACAGTAACATAGTTAATATTGTTGTGTTTAACAATAAGATAATTAATATTACTGTCAACCACAACAAAATCATTTCTAAACGTGGGCAAAAAGATGTTAAAGAAAAAAGAAAAAAATCGAAAAAGTCAATTCCGGAGACCGGCATTGACCGCCGGTCCACGCCGGAAACCGGCAGAAAAATCAGGAAAAAGAAAATAAAAATAAAAAAATCGAAAAAGTCAACGCCAGAGACTGACGAAAAAATGAGAAAGAAAAAAAAGAAAGTCAACGCCGGAGACCGCGGTCAACGTCGGAGACGGACAAAATTGTGTTATGGGTCAAAATTGAATAATTTATGAAATTTGTGGTCAAATTGACGTTAAATTAAATTACATGATGAAATTTGAACGTACTTAAATGTGAAAGACTATTTTAGTCTTTTACAAACTTCTTGACAATATGTGGAATTTTTTGTGAAAGATTTTTTTGTCTAAACCCCTTTATGAATAAGTAGCCATTAATGGATTTATTCATAAAGTGTCTTATTGAAATTTAGTGTAAACAAATTACTTCAAAAAAAATAAAAATAAAAAAAATAAAAAAAAATGTGACTAATAAATACTTAATTAATCCAATCTCATATAATTTAAATTAGGGTTAAATACAAAAACTAATTTAAATTTTCGTCAGATTTTGGAAAAAATATAACAATAGGGGTTTTTGTTTTTATGTGTTTTACAAGGCGATATGTTATACAAAGTCCGTATTACAGAGTGTTTTTATATTTAACCCTTTAAATTATTAAAAAAAAACAAAAAGCAAAAGAACTAGGGGGAAAGTACAGATAAATCCCTAATCCAAAACTCAAAACACAGATCAGTCCCTAGGTAGTTTCCCCAAGTAATTCAGTCCATATTCACGCGTCTGACATGCAGATCAGTCCCTAATGTGAATTTTATATATTTTATTATATTCTCTCTCTTCTTTTTCACTCTCACCCTTTTCTCTCTCCTCCTTTTCTCTCTCTTCATTTTCTCGATCTCTCTTCATCTTCTTTTTTTTTCTTCTCTTTCTTCATTTCTATCTGCTCTCTTTCTTCTCTATTTCTTCTCTCTTTCTCTCCTCTGGTTTCCTCTTTTTCCGAAGAAAAAATCACTGTAAAACCCACCCACCCCACAATGGCTACAAATGATGTATCTAATGATGTACCCACTGTGATTCTTGGAAGTTGTCGATACAAGCATCTGATAATGAAGATGAGTGTGGTCGACATTGTCGTGATCCGCAAAGATGAAGCTAATTCGCGTGGAAAGAGGGTTCGCACCGATGGCTGGTAGGTCTCCATCTTTTTCTGTACTGCTGAAATGCATTTCTTTATGGTTGTTAATTATTGTGATACATAGTATAAAATATGGCACGTAATAGTATCATGCTAATATAAATATGGTATGGACGTATGGTACTTACAGTACGTAATCGTTGTTCGTATAGTATGCGTGATAGGTAAATTTGGTACTGTTGGTGGGAAAACATAGTATCATATAATGGGGAAGATAGTACGTAACCTTCATCTGAATAGTATGGGTGATAGGTAAATTTGGTACTGTTGGTGGGAAAACATAGTATAATATAATGGGGAAGACAGTACGTAACCATTATTCGGATACGTACAAACAGGTATATCAATTCACGATTAACCCAATTCCCTCGTTTGATGAGGACTTTGACTTGTACGATGCGTGTAATGCTCCGCCCGATGTCTTTGTTAATGCAGCTGATTGAGAACTCGACCGGGACGTAGAAAGACAAAAAGAATTCCTTCACAAGTGCAGTTCGGGTTTTACTGTTGCCCACACCATGGCTACTCCCATTGGTGTGAACCATTTGAAGTTGGGCAAACTTTTTCCAACTCAAATCGTGAAGAAAATGAAGCTACAAGTGCGT